TAGAATTAGCCTAAATTTTAAAAAGTTATTTAGTTAGTTACTCAGTGTGTATGAGGGGGTGGGGGGATGCATGAGGGCATGCACGTGAAGGTCGGAGGACAACTTTTCAGACATCAGCTATATTTTGCTGTCTTGATTTTGAAGAAGAGTCTCTCCTATTGTTCTTTTTTTTTTTTTTTTTTTTTTGGTTTTTTCAAGACAGGGTTTCTCTGTGTAGCTTTGTGCCTTTCCTGGAACTCACTCTGTAGCCCAAGCTGGCCTTGAACTCACAGAGATCCACCTGGCTCTGCCTCCGGAGTGCTGGGATTAAAGGCCTGTGCCACCACCACCCAGCTGGCCTCCTATTGTTCTTGACACCATGCTGCATAAGTGAAATTCCAGCCAATTCTGTCTCTGTTTCCCATCTGGCAGTAGGAAGGCTAGGTTTGCAGACAGAGGTACCTCAGTGTATTTATTGCACACAGGATTCAGGACATCAGGCTTCCAAGCAAGGTGCTTGTTTGTTTGTTTGCTTGTTTGCTTTTTAATATTTAATTTTTTATTCTTGAGAATTTCATACATGTATACAGTGAAAAATGAACATATGTACACCTATTTCCCTACTGAAACTACCCCCATATTTCTATGATCACACACCTCTCCCAACTTTATAGCTTTTATAACTCATTAAGTATTGTAATGAGCAAAGGTTTTGACATGCTGATACATTGCCCTGTCCTACCCTAATGTTTTAATGAGTGTTTTTCCTAAGCAACAAATTTGAAGAAAAGATATTAATAAAATAAAACAAAGGCACTAAACATGTGTGTAAATTGATGAAAAATCATTTTCCTTAAGTGAGTCTGCATACAGAAAAAAACATAAATTCAATGATTTAAATACACAAAGTGGCCACATTAAATGACAAACAGAAGAGTACAGATAGAGAAGTAGGTAAAGAATATGAATAAGTTGGCAGACAAGCACATTCACAGTCAACAGCCTTATGAAACAGTGCTACAGTTCACCAGGAGTCTGCAGTCCAGAATTGAAGTAAAGCTGGATATCATGATGCCTATGAAACTGACAAAAATTCAGTGGTGCTGGTGCACTATGAGGTAAGAGCCATGTCTCCATGCATTATGGTAGAAATGTGACAAGTGAAATCGTTCTGAAAAGCCTTGTTCAAATTAAAATCATGCACATTTCAGAGCCAAGAATTCCACCCCTGAGAGTTTATCCTATAGAACAAAAGCACCAGTCAACTCCAATGCACATATAAGGATGATGGCAGCATTACTCATGCAGGAAGGGCACTGGAAACAGAAAATCCACACTGCCAGGTATGGCTGAGCATGTTATTATACACCTACACTATGAAATTACACATTCATCAGAAGAACTAAAACTGTACCAGACAACTTGAGAAAAAACTATGAATATTTCAAAAAATAGTCACTTCTCAAAATTTCTTAAGTGTGTACATATATATGCCTAGTATGGATTAATATTTAAAACCCATACATATATTTGTAGTTTGTACATAAACACATATTATATGAGTATAGAAAAAACACACTAAGTTATTAACAAGGGTTATCTTATATGTCAAAGTTAATATAGTATAGGCAGAAAGTGAGAGAGAAATGAAAAATTGAAAATTTCAAATAATTGAATTAGAACAAACATACACATTAATTTACACAAAATTGCATATATATGACACTATGCCTCTAGAAATTGAAGAAACATACGTTTCTGAAAATTTACAAAGGTGAAATTACAAGTCAATAGAAGGCTGGTAAAGTATAGGTGCTGTGGGATGTCTTTCTGTACACTGCGAATATGTGATGCTCTGATTGGTTAATAAAGAAGCAGCTCTGGCCTATGGAAAGTCAGGTTATAGCCAGACAGGAAATCTAAAAGAAAGACAGAAAGAAGAAAGGCAGAGGCAGAGGAAACACCAGCCTGCCACCCAAGGAGCAACATGCCAGCAGACCGGTAACACCACGGCCTCATGGTAATACATAGATTAATAGAAATGGGCTGCATTAAGTTGCAAGAACTAGCTAGCGAGAAGCCTGAGCCATTAGGCCATACAATTTGTAAATTATATAAGCCTCTGTGTGTTTACATGGGTCTGAGCAGCTATGAGACCAGGAGAGACACAGGAAAACTTCTAACTACACATAGGAGAGTACTTAACTAATTGGGAATAAACAGCAACAAAGCAAAGAAAAAACAAAAGGAAGAGAATAAAAAGCAAAATGCAGTAGCAATGGTTATATATCACAGTTAGTAGAGTGCTTGTCTAGCACACACCATCCCTCGGTTTGGTCCCAGCACCTCATAAACCACATATGGAGACATGCATCTTTAGTTCCAGCTCCATGAAATGGAAGCTGGATGGTCAGAAACTGGTTGGTCATCTTCAACAATGAGTATGATGCCAGCTTGAATGACACAAGATCCTGTCTTGAAAAAAATGTAAAGATGATAGACTCTAGCACATGAAATAATACAGATTTTAACACTACCTAATAATAAATATCTTTACTGAAACTCAAGAGAAATAGATATCTAATAGTTGAGTCCCAATAGTGAACATATAATTGCAGCATAAAAGCATTAAGCAAAAAATGGCCTCCATTAACTTTACAAATGATTTTAAATAATGAATGATAAGCTAGTCTGAATACAGACAGATAAACAAAAAAGAAAGTTTTGTAGGTAGGCTTTCTGGTAAGACCTATCTGCAAACACTTTGCCAATCTGAGTTAAGATCCTTAAAATATCAATATTCTTAGATTCAAAATCTTTCATAAAATCAACCTAATATAAATTGGAAGTATTCATGTATATCTATACACATGGGGATCTCAACCACAACAGTACTCATGAAAGAAATTTTGAGATGACCTAAACACTGAGTCATGAACTACTTAAGTTTTAAATAATCAATATTTATACCTATTAACATAGTTACAAAATATAAGACATAAAAATGCCCTACAATGGGGATAAAGAGATGGCTCAGAGGTTAAGAGCACACTAGCTGCTCTTCCAGAGGACTCGAGTTCATTCCCATCACCCACATGGCAGCTCACAACTCTCTCTAACTCTAGTTTCAGGGGATCTAACACCCTCACAAAGACATACATGTAGGCATAACACCAATGCACATAAATAAATAAGTAAATATTTAAAAAAATACTAAAAATGAACTGTAAGCTATTGTCCCTATGGAACATAAATCTGTCTGTCCATTTGAGCAAAGCATATTTCAATGGTTCTTTTTCCTACTCACCTTCCCCAGCCAACCCTCTGCTATCTAGACTCCCTAGTAAACTACCACCAGTCTTTTTTTCCCTTTTGTCCCATATGTCCTTTTGCCCAACCTCCATCCTTCTTCATCATATTTTTACCCTATTCTGGTCTTCTTTCTACTTATCTAACACATTGTAATCTAATTTTAAAAGAAAAATAAAAATACATAATAAAAGAAATGTAACCTATTTCCCTCTACCTTATATATTGCATTGTTTATATTCATTATATAAATAAATATTCACATATGAATTTTACAAAATAAAATAAATATGTCTGTATAGAAAAAGATACATAAAAGTCAAAACAGTTATTTCTAGCTATTGAAATTAGAATGCTATCTATTTTTGTGCTTCGTTTACAAGGTATCTATTGATTTAAAAATTATTGTCATTATTATCTTTTTCTCACAGTAACTAAGATGATCATCAGGCTCCATCCTATCCCATTTCCAAATCAATTCTAAGTAATACAGCAAGTGTACAAGAAGATTTAATTTAACAAACAAAAATTTCAGTAACCAAGATCCATGCCATTGACTGACAACAGAATTCTTACAGCTTCTGAGACACATGGTGTGAGCTATAAAGCATCAAATTTGAAAAATGGTGTGTATGTTTTACATCCCTCATCCCTTCAAAATATTGACTATATATGTGTGTTTATTTTTAAGAATTTCATAAATGTATGTGATGTATTTTAATCACATATATATATATATATATCTGCCATCAAACTCATCCTGGACCACCACCCACAACACATCACATCCTAACTTCATGTTCTCCTTTTTGTTCTGTTTAATGAACTACTGAGTCCAGTGAGTGTGATACGTATATGCATGTGTATGAGGCTATCTATTGGAGCATGAGCAACATACCAGGAGCCACAACTCTGAAGAATGGCTTTCCCTCTTACAATAGCCTTCAAATGCTAATAGCTCCTAAGATACATGAAAGCATCATTGTTCTGTCTTTGGTTTCATACTTGTCTTCAGCTATGAACCCAAAACACACTTTAATTTTCTTTTCCTTTTAGCAACTTTAAACTCTATGGTCTCCAAACTGTTGCTCACTTAATCCTAACTTTTAACAATGTTTGAGTATGTAAATTATATTTTAAATGCATAGCACTGCCATTAATACATGTGTATTAGGAATTACCTACATATAAAATATTTCCAAAAACTCAATTTAAATAACTCAAAGACAAAAAGAAATGGAAGTAGTACCTCTATTATTTTGCTCCTATACACTAAAGGATCATGTCATCTGTACTCTGGGATATGTTTCTCTGCTATGAAAATCACAGATTTAGCATTCTCTATTTCCTCACTAGTCAATTCCAATTCCCTATTTCGTACAGAACCGCATTTTTAAATTCTTTGGAGGAGGATTATTGTCTTGGTTGGTCATGTGAATGTTCAAACATGAGTCACCTCAAATTAAGAAAATAGTCCTAACAGAATTCACTTGTTTAATTGAAAAACCATATTCACAAATACGCAAACTCTGTCTTTCCTGTGGTCTAAATTCTCTCTTAGAAAAATCCAGATTTCCCTGTATGAAGATTGCAAGCACATTCCTGCTGCCATCCAACAGGAACAGTGACTATACTACTACAATGCTGGCCCCGAGCCCTTATGAACATGAGTCTCCATTTCCCTGGTTCTCTGAGGAGTTTCAGTAGCATACCTCTCCAGATTTTTGTGGACCATCACAGCATGAATTGTGGATGAGGGTTTTCTCCCATTTCTGTGCAACTTGATTGGCTTCTTCTATCTTCTGCTCACAGCTTTTATGAGAATTTAATAATGTCACCTCATAAAATTCTTGAATATCTGTAAAGAAAATGTCAGGAAAGAATCAAAATGTCATGTAGCACCTCATAAATAGCTTATGTGTATGTGTACATATAGTATGCATATGAAAATGTGGCTAATTAAAATAAATGAATAATCATATTCCAAAGTAAGCAATCAGAACAGAAAATCCTGAGAACTGACTTTTTACCAGCATCAGAATAAATACAGCAACTTCATTCATAATCGTGGGCACAGGAAGCAAACAAGATGTTCAATAGTTGAACAGCAAAACTGTAATAAGTCCAAGAATCAGGATATCATTGAGACCTAAGTGGTAATAAACTGAGAAATCATCTGAAAACATGGATGAATTTCAAAAGAGCATATTGGTGAGTGAAAGAATCTAGTATGAAAGTAATACATACTGCAAGGCTTTATGCATCTCACATGTGGGAAGTGGGGGGGGGAACAAAATTAAGGAAATGTAAAAAGATGAATTTTGGGAAGGACTAAATAGATAAGCCAAAAACCATGGTATTTATTCTATTTGTAATTATCCATAGTGGGGAAGATAAAACCTCAAGCATGTGTCAAAAGCTTTGAGAAACTGTCATGGCCAGGAAGAGCTCAAGGAAACACAGACATGAAGGAGACGTGCAGTGTGCTATCCCCATTAGGCTCCTGTGACAGAGAGCCTGACTAAAACCTAAGGAAAATTGAGAAAGATGTGACAACTGACTCATGGCCACGTGGTGATAGGTTGTTAATTGCTGCAAACTGATGGAAGGCGCTGGTGATAGAGAAAACAGAAAGGGGATCTATGGCAAGTCTCTGCCCTGTCTTTGTAACTTTTCTCTAAGTATAAAACTGCCCCCAAAGAAACATGTTACTGATTAATCCAGCTTTTCTAAGGGCATTGCACAGTCACAGTTAGATACCCAAATGACCCCTAAAAAGTTTTTTATGAATCCATTTTCACATTTAGGATGAATGGGAATAGAATTAATATTCCATCAAGCTACATTTTCTAGCTTTAAAGAAAGGGTGTTTTTGAGGACAGTTGTTTTTGACACTGAAAAAGACCGAGTGACCTTCAAATCAGCTATGCACTGACTAGAGAACACACACTTGAAAGTGTTGCTGGTATCGAAGCATGTCAGGGAGGTCTCAAAGCATCATCTTTTACACACACACACACAACCATGACAAAACAGACGTGCTACTATGAATGAGATTCAGAAGAAGGAACAATTACTAGAAACAATAGACTTAAATATCTGGTTATTATGGTTCCATCCATTATCTGATATAGAATATCTATATACAACACTTTTAATTGTGTAATTCCTAAAGCACAAAGATGAGAAAATAATGAGGGTCAAGCAGAATGGGACAAAACCAAAGTAACTTCCAATAATTAAAAATATATTTACTTTAAGATGTACTGATGGATGACGCCATGGAAGGATTGGTGTGGCATATAACAAGTACAATGACATACTAACAGTGAAATGTGTAAACAAAGCATACAGGTGCTCATTTTCATATTCTCATAACCTTGAGACCGCTGCAATTTTTAAGGAAGAAAGTTGAGGGAAATGTTATGCCTAGTAGGAAGTATATCAAAATGGAATTTCATAGTAGCAAAAACAGAGAAAAATCTTAAAACCAATCAAAGAAAGAAAAAAATCAGAGTTTTCAAAGAAGACAACAGAGTAAAAACTTCAAATTGTTGAGAGAGAATAACCATCATCATAGAATTTTTTTACTTTGTTTAAAATAGTTGCACTAGAATATAAAAGAAAACTCTCAAACTATGAGAAATCAAGAAATCTAATGCAAAACTTGGTGAAAATTAGAACACATACTTCACAAAAGAAAATAATATTCAACATCATTGGAAGAATGAAAATTAAAATCACAATGAGATAATACCACATATTCAATATAATGGTTATAGACAGGACTGAGTATTCTGAGCACTGATGGGAAAGAGGGATAATTGGAACTCCTGGACATTAGTAGTAAGAGTGGAAAACCATAAAACTCTGAAATGGGGTTTGGAACATTTTTAAAGAGCTACATGTGTGATTACTAATCCATCTAGTCTTTCATATTTTGGATGTTTATCTAAAATAAAAGGAAATATATATGAATGACACTTTGAAAATTGATACAAGGAAGTAAACCAAATGTCTTTGAATAGATGATCAAACAAACAAAGTATGATCAACCACACAATAGACTATCACTCCGCATAGAAAAGGGTGGAATTCTTCTGTTTGAGTGGATATTCATTCTATCATGGCAATGCTACTAATGTATACAAATGGCCAGATATTAAATTATGCACCTCACACATGCACAGCTCATTACACTTTCAGGTACATCTCAAAAAAAAAATAACAAGCAATATTACAAAGTACAAACTGAGGGAAGTTAATTTTACAACATGGAGGCAAATAAACAGTACCCAGGCAAGAGGTCCACAAACCAAAAAGAACGCACATAAAAACCAAAAAATAATAATAAAAACCTGAACAAGCATTTCATAATGAAAGAAATACATATAACTGATAAGACTGGGAGAGACTCCCAACTTGCAGTGGGACCGATGCTAAATAACATCATAATAGAATGCCAAAATAATAAAAGCAAAATACTCAAGTCTGACAATGCAATGGCAGGGATAAGAGGATATGCATAAATGCTAAATTGCTGTAAGCACTCCAAAACACAGTTTTTATTCTCAGAAAATTGGTCCAGTGTTTCTGTACAAGCGGCTCTTTCTGCTCTTCAGTGTGCATTCTAGTTAAACCCTGCACTCAATGGAACTCAGCAGCATTCATAGCCACATAAGCCTTCCATGAAGTGTGTTAGGAACAACCCAATGCTCATCAAAAAGAACGTGGATTGATTGTGTCATGTTCTCAAAGTGGGATTTGTAAAAAGCAAAGTGAATTACAATATGAAATCACATGGATAAATCTTACCAACATAATAGTGAGTGACAAAATTACCTCTCAAAATAAAGATTTTTTTTAAATTCAGAAGTGTATAAATGTATACTATGTATTTAGGAATCCATATGCACAGGGGCGACAAAACAGTTAGACCAAAGGAAAGGAAGGTGTGAAAACAAGGTACAATTTTCCTGGACTTACAATGGTGCTATGTGCACAATGTAAGTTGAAACACTGTAAGTCAGAATGTTGTGTAACACACCTAACCCAGAAAACAGCACAGCTTAGCAGCACAGGACATTGAGCCTAACAGATGTTTACTCCAGGGACAGCTTGACTGACTCACAGTTTAAGCTCACTGCTGTGGCCCAGCATTGTAAACATGTTTGTTTGTTTTTTTTTTCAGGTATCACCACCCTAGGAAACATAAAAATAAAAACGTGAGGTACGGTGTCCACTAAAGCCAAAACTGAGCAGTTGTGTCATCCCCGCAGTGGGGACTGCAGTGGACAGGCTGGGCGGGCTGGGCAGGACAGGCGAAGAAATGAAACAAGGTTAGAACCCAAAGTTAGAAAAGGAACTGAAGGGCGGGATCAGCTCTGGATTTGAGGGTCGATTTGCAATAAGCTTTTGTTTTCACGATGCTATGTATACATAACAAGAATATATCCTTAGTATGTATTGAGTATTGATTTTTTAATTAAAAGCATGGAATGTTTCATGCCTATAAGAATTACAAGCTGAGTATGCTTCATTTCTTTGTTTAACAAATTACTAGGGAGGATGAACACAGGCTCAACTAAGTCAATACCAAATATAAGAATAAAGATATGGTGGCGCACGCTTTTAATGCTACCACTCCAGAGGCAGAGGCAAGTGGATCCCTGTGAGTTTGAGGTGAGCCTGGATTACATAATGAATTCTAGACCAATAAGGTCACAAAAACATCCAAAGTTTAAAAATCTTTTAATTTTACACATGACTATGATGTTATTCTCTCTCAATGAAGTCTCTATGAAGTCAGGTTTGAAAATGTCTGAGAATAGAAGGGAAAATTTTCAAAGATAAAAATTCTTGAAAATGTTTAACACTGTAAGGGCTTGTATTATAAGCCATTATAATATAATATATTGTATTATTGTTATAATACTCTATATAAGCATTATAGGGTATTGGGTTTGCAAAAGTCAAAGGGATAAGGATTAAAAAACTAACAACAACAAAAATCTCCAGAAAGTAAGTTGCGTTTTTAACAACAGGTCTCCAGTTTTGGTTCAAAAGGAAAGAAGAGTGTCTGCAGAGATCTATAGCTACAGTCTCTTTAAAGGATAATGAAATACAAATAAAACAATTTTATAAATAAAATTATGATTTTTCCTCTACATCACTTTAACGGTACAAACATGGTTTTATACATAGCCTTTCCAAAGCTCCAAATTTTGAAATACTAGACAGACCTGTTACCCAGTGAAGGGACTATAGTCCTTATCATGCTAATGCTAAGGACTCATATTAACAAGTTACACTTTGAAATAAAACAGAGAGCACTCACATAAGCCCATTTGTCATCTTACATGCTTCTCTCATCAGCACATTCCATATTCCTACTCCTCTCTGTCACTGTAACTCCTACCACCAGAGTTCAGGTCCGTGCCGTGACCTTCTCACACCCTTCCTCTAGACTCAAATGTCCTTTCCCCACACAGAAAGCCTCCTGCCCCTTCAGTTTAGTCTGTGGAGACAAGGATCTACATATGAAACAGCATCAGCATAGGAATTACCTTACCAAAACTTAGTTCAGCAGAGTGGGAAGTAGTAACACCCAGGCAGCTATCGTGAAAAGAAAAATGTTGGTGTGGGGAGAAGTGAATGAGGCAAGGAACGAATCCTGCTCCTTTGCTCTTATTCTAACAGCAGATTGCTTCAATCTATTTAATACTTAGAATTCTAGTGTATATTAGAAGCAGTTTTTTACTCACCTTTCTGCATTTTAATTAAATACACCATTTTCCAAGTGTAAAGCAAATGCCCTCGGGAGCGAAGACATTGTCCTTTAGAGCCATTTATTCTCTG